CAAACAAACAATACTGAGCTCATGATTATACGTAAACAACTTTTGAGGTTTGCTGCGTGAGAAGATATAGGATTTGTTGATTGTAGTTCATTTAAATTTTGCAAAATGTTTTTTATCCAACGTCTACCGAGGACTGCTTTTGAGTAGGTCCCCACTTTTAACAACAGGTGTTATTAATTTATTGAGTGTGTGTGGCATGGCCTGTTGGCTAGAAAGCTCGACTTACGATCGAATCCTGTTACCGAAAATGTTCGCCCTTTCAGCAGTGAGGGCGTTATAACGTGACGGTCATTCTCATTATTCGTTGGTAAAAAAAAAAAGCATCCCAAGAGTTGGCGGTGTTGACTAGCTGCCCTCCCTCTAGTCTATCACTTCAAAATTAAGGTCGGCTAACACAGATAACCCTCGAGTAGATTTACACGAACTTAACAAACAAACAAACAGTGAACATATTTGGATTTATGATATTATAGTTGCTACGTTAATATCATTATTTAAAGGTAAGTAGTGAGCAGAAGTCCAAATATCCGGCGGAAAAAAATAATAACAACATAAAAAAAGAAACAAATTAATATAGTCTTTATGAGATTGCGTTTCTGTTGAATAAACTAAGCTGTATTTTTCAGAGTGTTGAAAATAAAGCGATGCGGTCGGTACGGTACGGAGTACCTCCAAAAACCATCTTATTAAAACGGTTTTTACCGCTATTGTTGAGTGTCGTGTTACTCGTTCTAAAAGTTACCGCTCTTCAAGCTCTACTTCCAGTCACGTGGTACGCATGCACGCGACTTAGGTTTTATTTTTGATTCCACTTCGACCTAATCAAACTTAAATTAACTTATTTCAGTTTTTCATACTAACTATAGTAGTTGTTGGTGTTATTGAATATATATTCAAATGTTGTAGCCTCGTTCTGCATAAATAAACAGCTTTGATTTGTATAAAATGTGTTCAGGTGGGTGAGTGGGTGGTGGAGAGTTACTTTCACCACTGCTCAAGTTATTCAAATTTTATCTTAGTTGAAAGGATGGGTTTTATTCTATCAAAATATGAGTTAACTTTGGTATGTGTGTCTATTCTATTAACGAATTTTGTTATTTTACCAAATAAGTTTTATTACTTGGTTTTCTCCTCGTCATAGAGTTTCCTGTCGGTACAACGATACTGGTCTTCGTTGGAAATTTTGGTTGCAACTGCGTCTTTGTTGTTATGTATCAGCAGGCAGCAGAAATATATCCAACCCCTGTCAGGGCTCTGGGAATGGGAACCAGTGCTACCACTTCCTGCATGGCACTGATTTGTGTCCCTTACATCGTCTATCTGGTAATTTGTTCTATTGCAACTTTATTTTGTGAAGTGAAAATCTATGAAATTGAATATCAGTGAGAGACTTACCAAACAATCAGATTCAAGGCTACTTCAATTGAAACTTAGAGCTTAGATATTCCTAAGTTATTGCTCAAAATATGAAGCTGTTTTTTTTTCTTATAGTTTTTAGAATTTATTATGCACAACCGATAGATTTTTATAATTATAATTTACGACAGAACGCTTTAATTACAACATTGTTGTATTTGACGTAAAATATAATTTTGTGATGTAAAACAGTATATCCACGAATAACTATTGGTTACTATACGCTAATGCAGAAATAACAATGACTGCGTGAGGATTATCGAAAGGAGATTTTTTATTGTTATTCCATATGTGTCACGAAGTTCTTTTCCTTTGTTATTCCATATGTGTCACGAAGTTCTTGTCATTTGTTATTGCATATGTGTCACGAAGTTCTTGTCCTTTGTTATTCCATATGTGTCACGAAGTTCTTGTCATTTGTTATTCCATATGTGTCACGAAGTTCTTGTCATTTGTTATTGCATGTGTCACGAAGTTCTTGTCCTTTGTTATTCCATATGTGTCACGAAGTTCTTGTCCTTTGTTATTCCTTATGTGTCACGAAGTTCTTGTCATTTGTTATTCCATATGTGTCATATGGAATAACAAAGGACAAGAACTTCGTGAAGAACTTCGTGACAGGTCATTTATTATTTCATATTTGTCACGAAGTTCTTGTCCTTTGTTATTCCATATGTGTCACGAAGTTCGTTTAATCTTTAACAACAATCTTAAATGAATGATTAAATTATTAAAGTGGTAGTTAAGTCCTAAGTATGCAGATGAATGAATAGTACATATTATATTCACCAGGGGACATATGAACAACACATACCGTATCTTATTATGGGAGGGCTTTGTTTGGTTGCGTCAGTTGCAGCGTCTTTCCTTCCCGAGACTCTACACTATAAACTGCCTCAAACTATAGAGGACGGAGAGGAATTTGGCAAACAACAAACGTATTTTTCTTGCGTTGGGTACGTCGTCCAATCACATTTGTTTTATCAGCTTCCTTCATGTTAACGGTTTATTACAATTCATAACTTTCTTCATCAATATTCAGTTTTACATAACTATATTTCTTTTATTATTTTATTTTCTTTTTTACAAATAATAAACTTTATTTTCTTAATACTTCTTAATTTAAACTTTGAAGATGAAATAACGTTTATCGGTTGATTTCGAACAGCAGGAATTGGATTTGTTTATATCTTCGAAAATGAATATATATATAATGATGAACAACAAGTCGACGGCAGCAAACAACGAACATTATACACGTGTACGTTCAGTAACAAACACTATACAC